AGGGCTGAGAAGCGATTCAAAGTACTAGTAGCTGGGCGAGCAGCTTCTGATGCTGGGGATGCAGAAAATCCGTATTAAAATATTTTTCTCCTTTCCTGCATTTTATCCCCTACTTGCCAGTTTAAGACACTTGGTCCCAGTCCCAAAAGTAAAGCAGTTCAATCCCTGGAACCACAACACAAACCTCCTCTATTGCCTACATTGCCTAACTACCTTGTACTGAAAGCCTCTCTAACAGGAAAGGCTCTGTCCTCAAGGGAGCTCTGACGGATCACCACCCAGCTCCTGACACTGCCTCCGTACCTGCGTCTGAGGGCTTGGTTCCTGAGCCTCCGCTGCTGCCCTTGCCCCAGCTCAGTCGCCCTCCAGGTGCAAAGAGCTGGTTGTTAGAATCGATGGAGCCAGGCTGAAGAAGAAAAGGGGAGTAGAGTCATAGGTCTAACCTGGGTGAGTCCCTTGGCCAGCACCACCACATGCAGCCAAACAGGTAGTGCACGGCCCAGTCCAGGGATCAGAAAACCTTTTTTAATAAAGGGCCAGTCTCTATTGCAACTACTCATTTCTGCCACAGCAGCATGAAACCAGCTGTAGATGATAAAGGCATGGCTGTGACTGTGTTCCAATAAAACTTCATGGACACTGACATTTACATTTTACTTAATTTCCACAGCATAAATTATCATTCACTTTTTAATTTTTCACAACTTTAAAATGTAAAAACCCACTACTGGGTCCTGGGATGTATGAATGGGCTGGATCTGGCACGTGTGTGTGTTTGCCAAACACTGGTCCAGACTAATGGGAGTACCACCCTCCCTCTACAGCTGGCAGTACTGTCTCTACCAATCCAACCAGTTAGTCTAAGAGGAAACATTTAGTTGTCACCTTCTCAACCTTAGAAAAGTGAGGGGACGGCCGGGCGTGGTGGCTCAAGCCTGTAATCCCAGCACTTTGGGAGGCCGAGACGGGTGGATCACGAGGTCAGGAGATGGAGACCATCCTGGCTAACACGGTGAAACCCCATCTCTACTAAAAAATACAAAAAACTAGCCGGGCGAGGTGGCGGGCGCCTGTAGTCCCAGCTACTCAGGAGGCTGAGGCAGGAGAATGGCGTGAACCCGGGAGGCAGAGCTTGCAGTGAGCCGAGATCCGGCCACTGCACTCCAGCCTGGGCGACAGAGCAAGACTCCGTCTCAAAAAAAAAAAAAAAAAAAAAAAAGAAAAGTGAGGGGACGAAGATCTAAACCTGAGTTGAATCACCCACTCCCACACACACCCCTACCTTGGTGATCTTGGTGAGTCGTGAGGTGTCAATGGGGCGGCTACCTTTGCTGATGGGAACTGTGTTCCAGCCACCATCATCCACAAGTGGAAGTCCACGGCCTGACACAAAAAGAGGGGCATACTGGAATAATGAATAAACCTTAGCAGCCCCTTCCCCTTGGGCCACCCCCAGCCTCCCTTCCTCAGATCCTCAGTTCCATCATGGGGTCTCAGTGGCCCAGACACGTGGCACTAACAGGAAGTCATCAGAGGAAAGTATAACCTCCCAGTCTCTTCACTGCTCCCTTCTCAATCCCAGCCTGGAACTCACTGATGGGCGGGCCTGGAGGGCCACCCCGACGCTTGTCACTGCCCTTGGCCATGAGCTGCTGCACTTTGATGTGCTCTCGATGTTCTTCCATCTCAGCCTCCTTATGGATCTGGTCAATGGTCTTGGGACCCTGATCCCCTCGGCGTGGCACCCAATTGCTCTGTGGAGACAGAAGGCCAGTCACGATGATGTCAGGGAAGGCCAGACAAGACAGTGTCAGAAACTGGAGGCAGCAGGCTGGCAGTGGGGAGGAGGGGGACACACACCCCTCGCAGATCCAGCACGTCCTGCAGCATAAAGCGGATGCGGGATGACGTCTTCTTTTCTTTGATGATTTTTTCCATCTGGTTGAAATACTGATCCATTCGGGGCTATGGAGGAGAAAGACATCAGACCAGGAACTTCTCATGTCTCACCTATAACTGCAGGCCCCACCCCTCCCCTCAGGCCTTCCGCCCCGTCCCTGTGGCTCAGTGAGCCCCGCATGCTTCAGCCCATCCCCCTCCAGATGCAAGAACCTCTACCTTGGCTTTTTCAAAGTCCAGGTCTTTGCCAATGGTGGTAAGCAGACGACAAAGGCACTCAAGGGACTCTTCATCATGGTTCTTAAGCAGTTTGACCACACAGTCATGCATTATTGCCTCTGTTAACATCTTCAGCTTGAACAACTCCCCAATAAACTTGATATTCCCTAAAGAGCGCCGCCGGGCTATGTCCCGAGCCTCTTCCAGCTCTTCCTTAAGGCGTCCTCGTTCCTCTGCCTGCCATTCACATGACAGGGATTGTGTCAAAAAGATAGCCAGCCACTCTGCTAAAACCCTTTTCTACCTGGATATCCAAACTTAGCAATAAGCACTCAGTCCTGAGGCAGGCTGGCTGGGCATAGTGGCTCATGCCTGTAATCCCACCACTTTGGGAGACCGAGGCAGACAGATCACTTGAGGTCAGGAGTTTGAGACCAGCTTGGCCAACATGGTAAAACCCCGTCTCTACTAAAAATGCAAAAAAATTAGCCAGGTATGGTGGCACATGCCTGTAATCCCAGCTACTTGGGAGGCTGAGGCAGGAGAATCGCTTGAACTCGGGAGGTGGAGGCTAGCCAAGATCACGCCACTGCACTCCAGCCTCGGTGACAGAGCGAGACTCTGTCTCAAAAAGGAAAAAAAAAAGTTCTGAGCCAGAGAAATCCCCAAGACACCACTATTTCCATTCCAAATTCTACAGTTGAGTAGAATCTGGGTGAGGGAAGGAGCTAAGTGGGGAGTGGAATCGGTAGTGGGTTTTCTCTCACCGTAGCAGCTTCATCCATCTCTTTTTGCTTCTTCTCAAAAACCTCATCATCATCTTTGTCTTTCTCAAACTCCTTCTGACATCGATTCAACAACAGCTTTCGGAAGTTTACAGTCACTGTTGGCTTTTCCGTAGTGGGCACTTTCAGCTGCAGGTCGGAGAGAATGTCACACTCAGACTAGTACTGGGCAGGGAAGGCCCTCCAAGAGCCTTTAACTACCTGACCCAGGAAGATATCTGGCCCCAGCTGTGCCTCCTTCCAGCTGGAAGAGGTGCAAGTTGGAGGAGAACCAAGAAGCTGGACTCAAGGAGTCTTGGGAATAGAAATGGGCAACTAGACCATAAGATTTAGAACCCAGTGGAAACTAACCGCCATGAGGCAGCGGCACATGTTGGCATAGGCCACAGAGAAGTTGGGCTCTGAAATGGCCTTCTCAAAAATGAGGTCAATGACCCCTTTGAGGCGTTCCTCGGTGTCAATGGCCAGCTGCGTCACTTGCTTCATCAGCTGCTGGAACATCTGGGGTGTCAGCTTATTCAGGATGGAGCGCACCCTGCGGAATAGGTCCTGGAGGAAGAGGAGACAAGAGTTCCAGTGAGGGTCTCAGAACAGGCTGTTCAGAGGGACAGGAGAGAGTGGTGGGGACTTAGGCATGACAGATGCTACTGATAAGGACAAAAAGCAGCAAAGAGGGCACTGACAGCAGACATGGAAAAGAAATGGAGAGAGACCAAAAGCAGGACTCGCCAGTACCTGGGTTTTGCTGCCATCAGCATCCTCTTCCCCTCGGTCCTTATCAGCTGCCGTCCGCTTGCTGCTGGGTTTCCAGGCTTTCTCTGCTTTGTTCAGTTTTATATCTTCGGTCATTAACACTGTGGCAATGATCTTGCGTGGTTCTTTCCGGGTGCCCTGCTGAGAGCGCCGGGGTCCCAGGCCAGCCTGCTAAGCAAGAGATGAAGACAAGAGGGGACGTGGAACTAGTCAGCACAATATGTGATACCACTACTACACGCCTCCAGGGCAAAACCCTCCCCGTCAGCACTGAGACACAGGGGAATCATCCACTCCCACTCCTTACCCACCTGCCCCTTTACCCAGCCCCACTCACCGGCCCTCGGGGCAGCTCCCCACCTGGCCCACCCCTTGGGGGCCCACGGGTGCTAAGGGCTGGCCGGCCAAGGTTGGCAAAGGATGGAGTGAAGTCTGGGCCATAATTTATGCCTTGTAGTCTAGTGGGGTCCAGTGGTCGCAGTGGTGTTTTATTGGCCTGCAAAGAGGACAGGAAAAGGTCTTAGAAGCAGGCTAGAGCAGTTGACTACTCTTTCAGGACCTCAGGCTCCTCCCCAATCCATCCAGCACAAACTTATCGTCCCCTCCCCGACTCAAGCCACTAACCTTGTCCAGCACCACATCACTGATATGGGGCAATCCCTCTGGCTTCTGCATACTGGCAAAGATGAACTGAAAACCAAGCAGGAACTCACGGTCGTAACGTTTTTTCTCCTCTAGATTTAGAGGCTTCCACTGATCTGCGAGGAAGAGAATGAAGCAATCATACTGTCTTCTCTGGCCCTAATAAGAAAACTCAAGTCATTCTCAACCCTTTCTTCAGCATACCTGACTTATATTCATACTTCTGTTCCCCGGGCTGGATGTTCTCAGCATTGTGAATTTTGTCTTCCTTTGAGTCCCAGGTCTCATCTGCTTCCTCAGGACGTGGGGGCACACCACTGCCCTCAGACTCTGGGCCTGGATTGCTGCCTGCAGGAGGCTGATTTTCCACCTCTGGTACTGCCGGGTTTGCCTAGAACAACAGAACACCAGTTTTGGTTGCACAATGACCACTGTTCCATACCTCAACTTGGCCCTCTCCCCTTCCGTTTTCTGCTCCCTTACCTCCTTGAAGGCATCCAGAAGGTCTCCAACAGCCTCCTTCTTATTTAGCTCCTTAATTTTCCGTCTCCTCTTTGGCACAGATACTGCCACTAATTTTAAAAAATAAATAAAAGCATGGGTCTTTGCCAATAATTTAAGGAGTACCCTTAATCCCTGGGAAATAAAAAGCACCCAAAGTACATATTTCCCCTTTGCATCACAGTCTTCAGGCTTAAAAGTCCTTAATCTAGTTCTTAGATTCCATTGCAGGGCCTCTATGACCCAGAAACATGGCAAAAACGGGAGGTCATCAAGGAGGGCAAGGAACCACATCCCCTAGCCCACCCTACCTCTACTGCCCAACCAATCCTTACCTTGAGTGGCCGCTGCTGCCTCCAAATTCTGAGACAAGTTGGCTGGAACAGGGGTGCTCTCTGAGGGGAGCAGTTCCTCTCCTCCCTTCTCACTCTCAGCTTCTCCTGCTTCTCCTTCTTCCTCTTCTTCTTCTTCTTCTTCCATTTCCTCCTCCTGAGCGGGGGAAGTAGCTGAAGGAGCCATAGCTGGAGTGGCAGAGAGGATGGTGGCGGGCGCCACTGATGCTGTCACCTCCTTGGCCTGCTCCTCTGGCTCACTGACTGGGCTTAAGTCCACAGCTGGTGGCGAGGGGGCTCCGTTGAGCAGTTCCTCAGGTTGGGCAGTTGGAGCAATGGGCACAGGGGATTCGGAGGGGCAAGCTGGTGGAAGAGCAAGCTCTGGGCTGGACTCCACCTCTGGTTCCAGATCTTCAGATGGGACCATGCCATTAGGCTCATGAATTTCCACTGTGTGAGATGCCAGAGGAGTGGAAGCCTGGAGAGGACTGGAAGAGAATTCAGATTCTGGAACCGGTTTGCTAAGTGTCACTTCTACTTCCAGTATGGGTTCGGCGAGAGGAGTGGGTTCTGGAGAGAGGCGATATGGCTCCCCAGTTTCACGGGAGATGGGGGTTGATTCTTCTACAGACATTTGTATAGTTGCCATAGTGTCCCCAGGAATAGAGAGGACTGCGAGATTAGGCTCAGACCCCGGTTCCAAGACTGGGGATGGTGATGGGGTCGGAGAAGGTGACGAAGGCTGGGATTCTGAAGGGCTGTGCTCTGGGCCAGGCAGCCCTGGCCGGTCAGCAATGATTGCTCCCTGTGACCGGTCATCTGCACCATAGGAAGGAAGAATGAGCAACTAAAGGCAAGTGCTTCACTGCTGTTGTTCCTCCCCATCCTCCAGCCAAGGTATTTCCAACTTAACACTCCCACGTCATCATCTCCCACCTAAGCTATACTTCCACTTTCATCCAAAACCCAATTCACCCTCAAAATCCCACGACCTGAAATCTAAGTCATCCTTCTCTGGTACCCAGTTCAAGTCACTCCACCACCTCAGCATTGAGGTGACAGCAAACTGTCAACATTCCCTTTCCCCGTAAAAGTTCCATCCCACCCGCTTACTTACCTGGCCGGACAATGACAGCAACCTGGGGCGTCTCCCCATTAGCTTGAGGCTCCAGACCGCCTCCCGTCTGCAGGACACAAAGGGTTACCAAGTTTGCACTGAAGAGTCCCACAACCCTTCTTTACTAGAGCCATTTCTACTTTAGCTCTGCCTAGAAATCCAGGAAAGCAGGGAAATAAATCCCTTAGTTGAAAGAAAAGATCCAGAGACTTGGGAGTCCAGGGCAGAACAGACATCCCAGTCAGGGTATCGCTCAAAAAACAGACAGTACCTGGGGAGGGGTGGGTGTGGAGGCAGTGCGGGCCCCAGACATGATCTCCTCCGTGATATCCTTTCCTCCTTGGTTTGGATCTCGAATTCGGATCTGGGGAAAGAAAGTTATGGGATGAGTGGGAAGCAGGAAGAGCCCACCTCTCCACCCTGCCCCACTCTTAAGACTCTGGGCCAACTCCCCACCCCACACTGGGAAGCAGGTAGGTAGGTGCCAGAAACCCCTTGAGTTCCACTTTCAGCCCATCTGGCTGCTCTTGTAGTCCCTGCCCTAGCTCCCACCCTTAAGAGACCCTTGACCTCACAAAGCAGCCCTGTACATCACAATGCCCCTCCCTCCCTCATCCCTACCCCACCAGCAGTCCCCAAGCCAGTGGCTGCACACCCTGGGGCCCAAGACCCCCATCTAGCACCCAATCGGCTCACTTGTGGCTAGTGTGCCTGATCTCTGGGGGCAGGGCCCAGATCCAGTAGGTGGAGCCAGGGTGACTCAGCGGCTTCCCCAGCTCTGGCACCCTATTCTGGGCACCACGCCCAGGGCTTGAGGACTGAGCAGAGGCGGAGGCCTTGAGAGCTTCCAGGACTTGTGGGGGGGGCCGGGTGGGGATGGGGGCTGGGGCCACAGAAAACAAACCATTTCCAAGGCAAGCCACCAGAAGCCCAAAAGCAAGCACAGTTCTTCCAACCTCCCAGCACCCAGGTCTCACAGGAACTTCCTCGCTAGCCACTTCAGTCTTCCCATGACCTGCTTCTATGCTAAAATCTTAGTATCTTACAAAGAACCTGAGCCCTCCACAGACCCCATTCTCTGCCCACTCTCAGCTCCTTCCTCAAGTCACTGTTCTTTCCGGCACAATGTCCCAGCAGCATCTGACCTTGATTCTCCCCTTCCCAGATGTCCCGGAGCCCCTCGCTGCTACTCACCGTCTTACGTTCCCTCTTGGGAGCAATCTGGGGTGGCTGGTTCATCAAAACTGGGGCGGGGGCCACACCAGTGGGAAACTGCTGCACCCCTTGGGCTGGATAGTAGGCGCCAGCTTGGGGGAGGGGGACGGAAAAGAATGGTGGTAGCGTCAGGGCCCAACCATATCCTAATGCCTGCTTGACACCTCCCACCCCAAAACCTCTCAACACCCACAGCCGGCCCCTTGCCCTGCCCTGCCCTCCTCCCCCAGGGAATCAGGTGTCTGTCAAAGCTGGGGAACCAGTCTGAACTGCGTTTACAAGAATTCCTAACACTGACACACACACATACACACATCTCATAGGCAGGCACTCCTTACCCACCACACACCAGCAACCAAGAGGACTTATGTCTGTCCTTCTACAGTACAAGGTACTCTCATGTAGGTACCCCACCCGCTATCAACGTGTACACACATACTCTGAACCTGAAACAGAACCAGGTCTTTGGCTGGGAATGAAAGAGATTTGACAACCCTGTTCCATTTAACTTGAGTCCAGTTCCTGTCTCCAGCCCTTTACAAAGGGGCAAAGAAACAAAGTAACATTATGAGCTAGGCTCAATATGAAGAAAAATTAATTCCTTAAAGCAAACTATCTCCAAAGTGGGGTGTGTTCTTTTTTTCCCCTTAAATATATATGCATTTTTTTGAGATGGAGTCTCACTCTGTTGCCTAGGCTGGAATACAGTGGCACAGTCCTGGTTCACTGCAACCTCCACGTCCCAGGTTCAAGTGATCCTCCTGCCTCAGCCTCCCGAATAGTGGGGATTACAAGACTGCACCACCACGCCCGACTAATTTTTGTATTTTTAGTTGAGACGGGGCCAGGCGTGGTGGCTCACGCCTATAATCTCAGCACTTTGGGAGGCCAAGGCAGGTGGATCACTTGAGGCCAGGAGTTCGAGAACAGCCTGGTCAACATGATGAAACACCGTCTCTACTAAAAATACAAAAATTAGCTGGGTGTGGTGGCACACGCCTGTAATCCCAGCTGCTCGGGAGGCTGAGGCAGGAAAATCACTTGAACCTGGGAGGTGGAGGCTGCAGAAAGCCAAGATTGTGCCACTACACTCCAGCCTGGGTGACAGAGTGAGACTGTCTCAAAAAGAAAATAAAAATAACAATAAAATTTAGTAGAAACGGGGTTCCACTATGTTGGCCAGGCTGGTCTCAACTCCTGACCTCAAGCGATTAACCTGCCTCAGCCTCCCAAAGTGCTGAGATTACAGGCATGGGCCACCGCACTCAGCTCCCCCTTAAATTTTAAAAGAGACAGGGTCTCACTATGTTTCCCAGGCTGGTCTCAAACTCCTGGCCTTAAGCAGTCCTCCTGCCTCCCAAAGTGCTGGGATTACAGGCAAGATCCCTCACACGGCCAGGACGCATTCTTTAACTTCATCCCTAAATTCCACTTGTTTTGTTTTTGACAAGCACGAGTGTATGTTTAAATTTTGCATACATATAAACAAAAACATATGTGTATGAGAGATTCATACTCAAAACTTTTCCTGATAGGTGATCAAAACACTTGGAAACCACTGCCATAAAGAACAGACTAATCCTTTCCTAGAATATAAATAAAAAATAGCTACAAAAACCTCCCGAATTTGCATTACATGGGCTCCCAACCATGGAAGAAGTGTCATAGGGAAAGCCTACTAACAGGCTCTCAGGCTGATACCTGATTCTACATTCCCTGATGTGGGGAAGACCCTAAACTCTCCTGGCAATAGAATCACATTTTCTCCCCACAATCAACACCAGTTAAATATTAAGCACCAATCCCTACCACCTATTAACTTTATCATTTTTAGACCAAAAGCCAAGCCTGGGAAGGGTCTTCTGCTTTAGAAATCAGCAGATGGGTTTACATGCTCCCCTGGGCTTGATCTCACCTCCGACTCCCTCCCCTGCTTACCGTAGGTCCCAAATTCTGTAGGGCTTGCACCTGGATAGAAGCCTGGGGCTCCTGGCTGCACAGGGTACTGCTGTGTCGGGACAACATATGTGGAACGCCCCTGGTTGGGGAGGGGGAGAGAAGGAGTTGAGGGAGCTATGAGTTCCATATCAGACTCCAAAAAGAATGGAGGTCAAGACAAGACAAGCCAACTCTGGGCAATGATCAGAAGTAAGTCCCACCTCTGGAAAAGGAATGGAACTGGAGGGTCAGGGTGAGGGAAGTGAGAAGTATATGGGTCTGTGGCTTCTAGGCTCCAAGCCCCCAGCCTCACCTGTCCAGGGATGTAGTAGGCCCCCTGGGAGGCTGGGTAGGAGATCTGGGAAGGGATCATCATTACTTGGGATCCAGCAGGGTAGACATGGGCAGCTGGGCCAGGGCGGGCAGGGGCTGCGCTCTGCACTCGGGAGGCTGCACTGCTCGGGGGCTGGGCCCGGCTAGGGTAGAAGTGCTGTCAGGAGGGAGGAAAGCAGTTGGCATTGTAAAGAGGAAGAAGTGGACAAAACATAGCCACTCCACAATGTCTCTATAGCCTGGAAAGTACTGTGGGCTTCAGAACATCGAGACCAATCCTTCCAAGACCACTTGACCAAATGGTTAAGCAGCTTCTTGAACACACACACACCCTCCAAATTCAGA